TTTCGTTCAATTTCACCCCTATTGGCTTTCAATTTCAATATTTACTATTTTCAATTTTACTCTTTATTTCCTTTAATTATGCCCCTAATTAATCAAGTCATGCAAATTTTGTATTTTGTGTGTGTGTGTATTGTATTATCATTTCCTTAAAAAAAAATTATTTATGTAGTTTTTTTTTATTTTTTCTAGACACAACCCAATTTCTTTTTCTCTTTTTGTTTTTGTTTTTGTTTTTTTTTGTTTTTACAAAAATAAAAGATACTCCTAAAATTAAAATAAAGCTAATAAAGGAAAGAATAGATCAAGATAAAAATATAGATAAATAATAATTATGACCTAAATTTGGTTTATGACACTTAGGATAATTCAAAAATTTAAGTCGATTTAGCCGATCTTTTATTTAATAGGGATGGACGTTATCCTCGACACTCGAAAAAGAAGCAAAACCAAAAAGTCGGTAAGAAAAAAAATCCAAATATCATTGGTAATTAGGTTATTCCTTGATATACTCGGTCATGTTAGGGCTTAATTAGATCCGACGAGCATCTAGTTTTTGGGAATCAATGCCAATTTAATATGATGCCATGATAAAATTAAATAAAAAATAATTTGACTTGGAAAACAAAAAAACTTGGAAATAAAATTAGAAAATAATTTGGTAAAATAAATTCTTAAGAGATGCATTTTAGGACTAAACTAGACATGACACTTTTTTTTTATATAAAAGGGTACCTTTGGATGATTGTTATCTTTTTATCTTTTTAAATGTATAACCAACTCCTTATTCACAATCTTTGAATCCGAGTGTCCTTTTTATGTTTTCTAGTTTTCTTCAATACTAGGTAGCAACTTCAAAATATCTTTTAACTCAAGTCCCTAAGAATAAACAATAAATCCAAATATTTTTTTTAAAAGTCTCCTAAATGTCGAGTAGTGACAATCTTCATACCTAATTGTGTTGATAGTAGCAACATATGCATTAAAATAGTGGCTATATGTAAGATAAGCTCGATTGGGATTAAAATCTAGAGACACTGGACATGAGGTATGGAAACTAGGCAATAGCCCATAACATAACCGACCAAAAAGTGCAAGGGTAATTTATGTGAAAAAGGGTCGATTAAAAAACTTGAAACATACCATAATTGGTATAAGCAAGAAGCAAAGGTGCAAATGCAATAGGCTTTGCATACCGAGACATAGCGAGTAGCCATTGAAAAATACCTTATACTCACAAGTGATACTTCTATAGCGGACAATATACTTATAGAGCCACAAAATGGAGAAGTTAAGCTCCATAACTTTGATGTCTTTAAAAGTTAAGAAAGCTAGAGAATAAGCAAAATAAGATTGAACATCCACTACCACATTTCAAAGATCAGTCAGTATACTTGGGCATCCAAATCAATTAATGCCATGACATTACATAGATCCATTCTTGTAAGAGAATAACTAGTTGAGACACCACGTCTTTTAGAGTGATGTCCATAAGACCCCTCTTCATGTGAATGCTATTATCGGTAGTACCCCACAAACTCAAAACAACCCCAAGAACGAGGAGGATTGAGTTCGGGAGTATAATTAATAGTTAGGTCAAATATGTCAAACATCTTGATCTTTTGCCATTTTCTCCAAACATTAGAATGTCCTCGTAGTGCATCATAAATGATAGTGATCTCGGATTGAGAGTTTGGCCATGTTTTGGTAACATGTTTCGAATAACTTTTGAAGTGCTTCCACTTCACCCCTTATGTCGTAGAAGGGTGATAAAAACGGAATGTGGCCCTTTCATCCGGAATCAAATGTCCCAACATTACCCACACTCTTTAAATGTCTTTTTTAGATCCATAACCCTAAAACAAGGAGGGTCCTAGAGTATGAGGTTAGGTGTTGGCATGAAAATCAATAGAAGCCCTATATACCTCGGTAAGAGGGGATAACAAAGTAGAGTGGGTTAAAGAGGGGCAATTCGAATGGAAAATTTGAAAGTGATGCTTTAATTATGAGACCACACCATATAAGGATTGACGTGAGGAAGAAGATTTAGAAGGAGATTTCTTTGTTAGACGCTATGAAGAAAGAATGGTTGATGAATTGATCAATTGAAAACATAAAAGAAATAGAGAGAATGAAACCCTAGAATTGAAAAAACAGATCACAAAAAGAGTTTGAATTGAAAAACAATTCAATAATGAAAGGATAATTAAAATTCCTCTTGTATTTATATACGGTAAATAAAGAGATGTGACCTTTGTACAATGAATAGATGTACTAGTTCTAATATTTGTTACAATGTAGGAAATTGGAAGGAGACAAATGGGTGCCAAAGTAATGGTTTCTTTTTACAAGTGAGAATTGATTTCATATGCAAAAAGAAGAAAGGTAGATGTTATACCCAAATTTAATAAGGACTTGCCGACTTAATTAAATTGGCTAGAGCCTAATATACTACAATCATAAAACTTTGAAAGCTATTATTACACTTAAAACGCAATTCACTGGACAAAATTCTAACAAGCTCATCTAAAGAAAAAAGACCTAAAATAATTTGTGTAGATAGAAAGACTAAGCATAACTCTTGATAAAATGACAACATGGATAAAAAATCGTGAAAAGCTAAATCCTTTATATGCAATAGTGGCTTAATAGAACCGAGTACTTGTAACCGGAAATAAGAAGGACGTGATATGTTACAATGGAAGAGTGAGAATGCTAGAGAAAGTGGAACGTTGTAGACATAGAGCATTACGATCAAGGAGGGAAGTTGTTATCATTAAAAAACGTATCAATTAGAGAGTAATGTAAAAGATTGAAAGGGTTATAAAAATCAATTGCAGCGACATGAAAAAACACATAACGAACAACACAATCAACTACAATACGATACTCTTGCAAATTATCGATTTACCTTTTAGTTCAAACGCTCGAAACATAGTAGAGCTATAGATTGTAAGAAATAATCACTTAGGTTGTAATCAAGTAGGCTATAAATTGTAAGAAATAATCACTTAAGTCGTAAGAAATACTCTTTTTGAAGTTAGTTATTGTGAGTTAATTTATGTTTTAAATAGAGATATTGTTTTTATTAATATTTGATATTTAATTAAATTTATTTATTTAGTAACTTTAGCCTTTTAATTTGAGAGATCGAAAAATAAATTGTCTTGTAGATCGCCATCCATCCATACTTGTAAATTTTTTTTGTTTCAAAGTCTTTTTAATTTAAGTCGGCATAAAAAAATCCATAACATAATCCAAAAGTTTTAATTTTGAATTATCTAAACAATTCAAGTTGAATAAGCTAACAATAATTGATTTTAATTTGATTTTTTTTTAAAAAAAAAACATTCTTCCTAACTATTTTTTAATAATTAATTATTTATTTTTTCTCCATAAATTTGAGTGAAATCAACTTTTTTCTACGTTTTAATTAAAAACTTTTTTTAGTTTTGGGATTTTGAGTGTTAGCTCCATATTCAAAAATTATTTACCAAAAACCATTAGGGATAAGGGTTTGGCGTTTTGAACGAAGGCCATTACTACCTCTTGCTCTAAATCGACGCTTATTTTAGTGCTCGAGCTGATATTAGTATCTCCATTTTAAAGGGACTTGGTGAACGCTATTGGCATTGGGTAAATTAGTTTTATTTGACAAAATTAGAGCAACGAACTCGATTTTGGTTCAATACATGAAAAGTAGTTTGTGGATGACATGTCATCTAATATAAAAGGGATAAACAATATTTGGACCCTTCAACTATAACCGAGGTTTCGATTCGGGATGGCGATGGGGCGGGCGGGGATCGCCATCCCCACCCCCCCCGCGTCCCTAAAAAAAAAAAAAAACCTATCCTCGTCCCGTGTCTCATTTGGCGGGGCGAGGCGGGGATGGCCATCCCCATCCTCGCCTTGCTCAAAAAAAAAAAAAAAAAAAAACCTCGGCCTCGCCTCGTGTCCATTCGGGGAAAAATTTCGGCCCCATACCCACCTTAAGCTAGGGCGGGGCGGCGTTGGATTATCATCCTAGTTTTGATTGAGTCTTCCAACTTACTAAAAAAAAAGTTGATTAAACCATTGAGTTATTATGAGCTAATAGATGTTGAAAAATTGAGAAAACAATATCGATACAAAAATTTTAATAAGGATAATAGATAAAAAGTGAGAACGAGATAGAGATTTTTTTTTCTTCGGCTTCATATTTTATCCTTATAAAGGGATAGATTGAAGATTTTTTTTTATTTTTTATTTTTCATTTTTCTTATGTGTAGACGGTGGTTGTCCAATGCAAGACCTTTAAAGGTTGTTTAATGAAATGGTTTAATTGAACCTTTCTTTGGGTAGAAGACCTAATTCAAACCTTAATAATAGCTGGATGGCCATGATGTAGTTTTCACATTGAAAAAGTAAAAGGGCTAAAAAGACAAAACAAAAAAAAAAAAAAAAAAAAAGGCCTCCAGAGCCCACGACGGGTCAGCCATAATTTTCTGGTTGTGTCAATTATAAATTAGTCTTTTAATTTTACAAAAGGCAATAAATAATTCTTTTTATTTCAAAAATTAATTAATTAATTTTTATAAAAAAATATTTTTTCTCATTGTTTTTTTTTTCACATTATTCATTTTTTGAAAAAAATAAAATTATAAATAGATTTAAAAATATAAAGAATAATTAATTATTATTTGAAACGAAAGGCCATATTTAATTTGATAAACTAGAGAGAATAATTTATATACTCTATCCTGGATGCATATTTAGGATTCCAATTTAGCGTCTTATGTTTAGACACGTTGTCTGGTCAGTGGTCATTGTCTGAACGGCGGGCCATTCAATTCCATGGCGCTCCCTTTAGATAAGCCATAGCATCCATTGTATATTTATTCTATTTTCTCCAAAATTTGTCACTAAAATAAATAAAAAAAGAAGAAAGAAAAACGAAAAAAGAGAGAGATTAAAAAAAATATAAAAAGTTTTAATCTCGCTCTTCTGAGCACCAGGAAACGATGCTTTTTAGCTTCTTGTTGGTAAGTCATTATCTCTGAACCTTTTGTTCTTGTTAGTATTCTTGATAATCCCAGATATTCTAAGAATATTTGATTTGTTGCTCTTTGTACATTGCTGTAGTTTTTGTTACTAGTTGGTGATAATTTGAGTCTATGTAAGAACCCAGTCTTTCGTTTTTGTTTAATTTTGATAATAGTGTATTGGTTTTGGCAGGGATTGGCATCTCAGTTCAGAACTGAGAGATTCTTGAATTCTGTCTTGTGTTTTTAGAAACTTGTAGGGACCCAATTGGGATTTTGGAGGGATATTTAATAGGCATAGTGGAGGAACTATGGATACTTTGTTGAAAACACATAACAAGCTTGAGTTTTTGCCTCAAATTCATGGGTTGTCCGAGAAAGCAGGTTATTCGAGCTCTGTAAAGATTCAAAGCCAGGAACTTAGGTTTGGTCACAAGAAGTTTTGTTCAAAAAGAGGGAGAAATGGTTGTGTAAAGGCTAGTAGTAGTGCACTTTTGGAGCTTGTTCCAGAAACCAAGAAGGAAAATCTGGAGTTTGATCTTCCTATGTATGACCCGTTGAAGGGCCTTGTAGTCGACCTTGCAGTTGTGGGGGGCGGTCCTGCAGGGCTTGCAGTAGCACAGCAAGTTTCGGAGGCAGGGCTCTCGGTTTGTTCGATTGATCCATCTCCCAAATTGATTTGGCCAAATAATTATGGTGTTTGGGTCGATGAATTTGAAGCCATGGATATGCTTGATTGCCTTGATGCCACTTGGTCTGGTGCTGTTGTATATGTTGATGACAAGACACAGAAAAACCTTGACAGGCCTTATGGGAGGGTTAATAGGAAGCAGCTCAAGTCCAAAATGTTGCAGAAATGCATATCCAATGGTGTTAAGTTTCACCAAGCTAAAGTTATCAAGGTTATTCATGAAGAGTCCAAATCTCTATTGATTTGCAATGATGGTGTCACAATCCAAGCTGCCGTGGTTCTCGATGCAACTGGCTTTTCTAGATGCCTTGTTCAGTATGATAAGCCGTATAATCCAGGTTACCAAGTGGCTTATGGAATTTTGGCTGAGGTCGAAGAGCACCCATTTGATGTAGATAAGATGGTTTTCATGGATTGGAGAGATTCACATCTGAACAACAATTCAGAACTAAAAGAGAGAAACAGCAAGATCCCTACTTTTCTCTATGCAATGCCCTTTTCTTCTGACAGGATATTTCTGGAAGAAACTTCACTTGTAGCTAGGCCTGGAGTACAGATGAAAGATATTCAGGAAAGGATGGTGGCAAGATTAAGGCACCTAGGGATAAAAGTGAAAAGCATTGAGGAAGATGAGCATTGTGTCATTCCAATGGGGGGACCCCTCCCTGTGCTCCCTCAAAGAGTAATTGGAATTGGTGGTACAGCTGGTATGGTGCACCCTTCAACTGGGTATATGGTAGCAAGAACTCTAGCAGCTGCTCCGATTATTGCTAATTCTATCGTTCAATATCTTGGTTCTGATAGAAGCATTTCTGGAAGTCAATTATCAGCTAAAGTTTGGAAAGATTTATGGCCTATAGAGAGAAGGAGGCAAAGAGAGTTCTTCTGTTTTGGTATGGATATTTTGCTCAAGCTTGATTTACCTGCCACAAGAAGATTTTTTGATGCATTTTTTGATCTCGAACCTCGTTATTGGCACGGGTTCCTGTCATCTAGACTGTTTCTGCCTGAGCTTGTACTTTTTGGGCTTTCACTGTTCTCCCATGCTTCTAATACTTCTAGGTTAGAGATTATGGTAAAGGGAACTATTCCTTTGGTTAATATGGCCAACAATTTAATACAGGACAGAGAATAGATGACTTGGATTCATTTTGTCCTCTAAATCTGTTGCATCTACATACTTAAGTTCCTGTGCTGTTGCCTATAATTGTGAATAGAGCAATATGAATCACCTGTTATTTTCTTGTATGTTAATTACGCATCCTATCCATAGCTCACACACTCGTCTCTTGTGGGTGTGAACCGCAGTAGATTCATTGGTGTGCTCGTGTTTGTCCAGAGCACATGTTTAAATCATATTGTTGATTGGTGCCGTGCCTTGTATAGATAAATTCAGTTCTTTACTTGATTCCCATTCATTCAACTCCTGTTCGATGCTGCTTGCTTGAAATTCAGTTAATAATGTCTGAAACACGGGTTATATCTGTAAGACAGTTCTGCTAATGCATGGAAGAGGTGCATCAATGCTATTTTGAACTACAAAAAGCAGGGATTATTATGATAATAGGTTAATGAAGTGATTGAAGTGGTCATTAGTAATACTATCAAGAAGCTGTGATGCAGGGAATACATGCCTTCCTGAGCTTGAACTATCTCTTTACTTCGAGGTAGTATGGCTATCCAAAACATCTGTTTCTGGTACATCTTTACAGTGGAAATTATGATTCTACTTTGTTCGGTTCACTATGGTATTTGTAATAAAATATATAAATAAACAGTGTAAATAACAAGTCTAGGAGGGAGATAATACTTACTTTCAAGTAGTCTTACTATATCAGTAGGTAGTAATATTCAATCACTCTTTGTAATTCACAGTCCAAGTACCAAAACAATCCTCTTTTTTTTTTTTACCCTTATGTATAGAGTTTTTCTGTTTTATTTTTTTATTCTGTTCTTTTGTTTTCTGTCGTACTTATCCCCTTTTCTTCTCATACGTATATATGGGAGTTGGAGGAATAACACCCCCACAATAGTTGCTTGAATTTTTTTATTCTTATTTTTTATTTTAAATAATTTTGTTGTCATGTCAATTTGTCATTCCATCATGAGCCATCCAACTCAAATCTCTTTTATTAACATCTTTCATTTGCAATTGACATGTTAGATTCAACGTGACTCTTTGCAATATCAATAGTAAAACAATAAAGTATAATTTTGTACTAACAAACAAATAGATCATGTGACCTACCGAGCATTCTTGTATTTTAGGAGTTTATTACTATGCATTTATGAGGAATAACATTGTAGCTACTACCTAAGATTAATAAATGATATACGAGATATAGTATATCATAAATCTTGTAATATTTCCGATAGTTCATTGTATTTATTATTTCATTATGTCAAATCCGTTAATCAACATATAATTCGATTTTGTATTGTATATGCATAATTACATCTACGTTACACTTACCCGATGCTTCTTTTAAGCGATATGATTGTCCGACCAATGAATATATCGAACATGTCTTCATTTCTTATTTGAAAATTTTAATTCAAAACTTGGTCGCTTTTCTAGATTAGTTTTATAGAATCATACAAGATTATAAGTAACTAACTACGATAACAAACACTAAGCCTAAATCTTGAATAGCGAGTAAAAAGTGTTAATGATATTAGTTAAATGATATTATTATTCCTCAAAAGATCTCACACAATAGAAAAATAGAGATTCATTCTCCAACTATCATTAGCAATCGTATTAGCATACGTGGTGTGAATCACATGCTATAATGTTTTTAGTTGTCGATTTTGTACACATTGTATAGATCCTAGTTCGGTCATCGGACATAAGTGATTAACTTGAATTCTCAAGTTGTTTTCTCTCGGTAGGTATTATTGTCGAGATCTTAAATATGGCTATCACAAGTTATTTGGATTAAGCTTTCTAAATTGATTGGAAAATGTACATTGGTTTACAATATCATCTTAATTTTACATTAAGGCGATACTTTCTTAATCTTATCTCCACTCTACTCGCTTTCAACAACACTAAAGGTGTTTTGTCTCATCTCTACTCGCTTTTAACAATGTCGAGGCGATTGCTCGTGTGAGAGAGCCAATCTAAACTTATGTGACTTTCAAAGTTATATATATATATATATATCGAAAACATCAAATTTCATTCATAAAAGAAGTAGTACAATATATAAGCTCAATTATTCATTATTATGACAAAGTTATAATCAAAGCATTCCAAAAGATTTAAAATGTCCAAGATACACGTCTCTTGATATGAGTTTTGTGAGAAGATTTGCTCTCATTTGATGCTTATATATATATATATATATATATATATATATATATATATATAGTTGTTTTTCCGATGTTTTCTCTAATATGGTTATACTTGGTATCAATATGTTTGGTTCTACTATGGTACTTAAGATTCTTGGCATAAGTAATAGTTGCGTAGTTGTTACAATATGCTGTGCTAGGCCTCGAGCTATCACTATTTACTTTCAATTTCTCAATAAACATTTTCAACCAATCTACTTATTGCACAATAGCCGACAAAGCAATAACTCGCCTAGTTGCATAACGATTGAACATGCTATAAATTCAGCCTCTATAATAGATAAAGTTATATAGGTTTGTTTCTTATTACTCGAAGATGTATTGTCATTATTTGAGTAGAAAAGCATAGTCCGAAGTAGATTTGCATTCTTTAAGATTTCTTCTACAATTAGCATCTAAGTACTTAGTAAGATGTAAACTTTTTCCTCAATAACATAAACAATAATCCACAATGCCTTTGAGATATCTCGGGATCTTTTCCATAGTCTTTCAATGCTCTCAACTAGGATTTGACTAGGATTAGCTAGCCAAACCAATGGTAAAATATATATTCGAGCAATTACATATCATTGCATACATAAGGCTTACAACTACACTTGAATGTAACACTTTAGACATCTTTTTTTTTCTTGTGGAGTTTTAGGACATATTTTACGACTTAAAGCCTCGTCTTTTGACACGAGGGTGTCCACAAACTCATAATTATCTATCTAGAAGCGTTGTAGAAATTTCTAGGTATAATGCTTGTGTGACAAAACCAAATTTTTTTTCAAACAATGGTTTATGATCTTGACTCTCTAAATATAGTTTGCCTAACCCATGTCTTTCATGTCAAAATTCGTGAATAACCTCTCCTTGATAGACATGATAAATCTTTGTCATTCCTAACATTAAAATATCATCAATATATAGAGATAAAATTGCAAACTTCTCTTCAGTTCTTTTAACATAAACACCATGATCTTCCTTAATTATTTTAAAATCATAAGTAATTATTACCTTATGAAAACAAAAGTATCATTGTCTAGATGACTTGTTTCGGACCATAGATATATCTTTGTAGATTGTAAACTTTACACTTTTGGCATTCATTAATAAAACCTATAGGCTATTCCGTGTAGTTTTCTTCCTCTAGAAATCCATTAAGAAAGCTATTTTTACATCCATTTGATGTAGTCTAAATGGGCCATAATGGCTAAAATTAATCTTATTAAGGAAATCCTAACAATAGGAGAAAAAGTTTTCTCGTAGTCTACACCCTCTTGTTAGGTAAAACCTTTAGTGATAAGATGAGCTTTATATTATTCAATTGATTCGTCCGCCTTTTATTTTATTTTGACAACCCATTTGTTCTTTTGCTTTATGACTTGGAGAAAGATCAATTAAATTTCACACCTAGTTCAATTTCATGGATTCCATTTCCTCTTTTAATGTAACTTTCTATTTATCATTGGCAAAACATGTTAGTATCTTTTATTTTTTTATACCCTTTATCCTTTTATGGGGGTAATAATGTAGGCTTCATTCTCAATTTTAAATTGTTTCTAAGGAATTCTTGGTCGATTGCTCTTAAATAAATGAGAATTGTCACTAAAATCAATTGAAATTGGATTGTTCTCATTCCTCTCACTCAATTGAGATAGTAGTGTTGTGTTATCAAAGCTTCCACTAGGAAACGAGTGAGTCCGGTACAACTAGTTATGTGTTGACTTATGGTCGACTTAATAGTATATCATCCTTTTTTTTTTTTTTTATCTAAAAATATAAAGATTGTTTTTATCTATCCGATTTATTTCAAGAAAAAAGATATTCTTTAAAAGTGACATCTTGAGATTCACTTTTAGTGGCTCGTCCATCAAAGTCCTCACATCTTACGAATATATATTTATATTCTCTAGGGCTTAATTTACTATACTTATGAAAAGTATCATGAATATATGCAATAGATCCCCAAGGGCACAAATGATGTAAGTTGGGCTTGTTGCCCATCCATAACTCATAAGGCTTAGAGGTTACTAATTTAGAAGGCACAAGATTAAGTATATAGGTTGTAATCATTAGTGCATCTCTCCGAACTAAATTGCAAAATTCGCATATGCCATCATGAATCTAGCCATGTCTAATAATGCACGGTTCCTACATTCTGCTACACCATTTTGTTATGGTATTCTAGAAATCATAAGTTGTCTAATTATTCCTTTCTCATTACATTCACTTTTGCTCTTTTTTATTTTTTTCTCAATTAAATTTCACTCGTTTTCCTGGTGGAATGCATATTAGGGAAGACTCGCTTTGATTGCTAAAAAAGGTAGTACAAGGAAACTAGTGACAACCTTCTTTTTAACTCTTCTAAATAATTGGCTAGCAGTTCTTTTAGCAACGAAGTTGGGAAAATAAAGTTCAATTTTTCAAGTTAATAGATTAGTTTATCAAAATTATATATATATAAACAACCATAATCTATTAGTTGCATATCTAATAACTTCGTTAGTGAAGCGAGTTTGAGTCTCCTTGTTCCATTTTATTTGATTATTATGTAATGAGAGTTTGTTCGAATTATATTTTTCCTCTCTTTCTTTTGTGTATTTCAAATTTGTTTAATATCTTTGTTTTTTTTTTTAAATGTAGTTGATTAAACTTGTTCCTAGTATTCGGGATGATCAAAATTCGTTTGCTCTTTAATTGTAATTTCAAACCTTCGACTTGATGAATCGGTGGACCAAAGAAACACATGTTTGGTGCTAGCCGAGGGTTGTGATACTGTTCGTACTCGCATGT